GCACGTGGGTGGGTGTCACTGGCACCATCCTGCCTGTGAAGCTGCCACATGGGGAAATCTGCCCTGAACCCCGGAGAGGGGTCAGCCTGGAGCTCAAGTTTCAGGGTCAGACAGTGAGCCGAGAAGGAGTCCTTTCCAGAAGCTAATTAGTTTAAACTGCTGCATGGCAGAAATTAAAGGGCAAGTTTCAAGTAACTAGTACTAAGGAGGGAAAAAGAAGCCCCCATTGGAAACAGACTAATGCTGAAATTAAGAAAGGTGAAAAAGTACTAAGGTGTAATTTACAGGTCAGTTTCTCTTATCACCTGATATGTTTGCTCATTCCTTTACCCTCATTCATTTGAGCACTGTGGGATCATCCAACAAAGCTGAGGACTCCACTTTCAAGGCCCAAGGATTTAAAATCATCTAAAGCCGGCCTCACATTCCACAAACATCACTGAGTGCTAAGTGTCCCTCGGTGCATGGTGGTGTCCCCTGCTGGGAAGCCATTGAGCGGGGAGACACATACACTACTGTGAACTGTGTTGCTAAGAAGGGATATTTGGTGAGGTATATTTGGTGCATTTTGTTGTTGTTTGTTTGCTTCAGGTACTGGGGCCTGAATCCAGGGTCTTTGCCCTGAACGATGTCCTCAGTCCTTTTTAATTTTTTTTTTTTATTATGAGATAGGGTCTCACTAAGTTGCTAAGTTTTTCAGGCAGGGCTGAAACTCACAATCTTTTTCAGCCTCCCAGAGTGCTGTAGTTGGTGGCATGTGCCACTACGTCTAGCTCCCAATGTGCACATACACATATATAAAGGAATTGGTGCACATAACTATAGAGGTTGACAGGTCTCAAGCTGTGCGACCTCAGTGGGCAAGTTGCAGAGTTAGGACAGCCCACGGTGTTGGTCTGGTCTAAAAGCCAGCAGCCTCCAGACTGAGGAAGTTGTTTCAGTTGATGAAAACTGATGCAAAGTGAAGACACTCACATGGGAGGAGCTTTCTCTTATTTGTGAAAGAGTCAGGCTTTTTATTCTATCCAGGCCTTCAATTGATTAGATGGAGCCCACCCATATTGGAGAATGCAATTTGCTTGACTCTGTCTCCTGATTCATATGTTAATCTCAGTGAGGAACACTCTCCCAAATATACCCAGAATATAGTTTAACCAACTATCTGGGCACCCCATAGCCTAGTCAATTTGACACATCAAATTGACATCACATCTGTGACCACAACTCTAGTTAGTGATGTAGCTGTCTGAGAGAAAGGTAATAGAGGCCCTGATGAAGGTATCATTGAAACAGGAAGGAAAGACTAGACAAGTGGACAGAGCCTCTCGAGTGACTGCTAGATGACCAGAGTAGATGTGAAGCACTGAGCCTGGGTTGTGTAGTCTGAGGGTCAGTGCTGGGAGCTTGGTGGTGCTATCAACAGAATTATTTCAGACCGACAAAACTGGCTTCAGGAGCTGAAGATAGTGGAGGAGCCTTCAGTAGAATGATCATCATCCTGGCTTTCCTATGTTGACAGTCCCAACCTACACCTGCTTGTCCCTCCTGGTGTCCCACTTGGTTTGGACTTTGTCCCCAAAGAAGTTGTCCCAATTTAGATGATAAACTATACTGTCACCTTCAATCTTCGGGCAGGCTGGGTTTGAGGCGTCACCCTCATGCTCAGTGTTGGGAAAGCCTGCTATCTCATCGTCCGCTTTATAGCCTGTCAGTTGCCATCAAAGTGTGCTCCTGTGGTCCTGATGTTAGTCACTCCGACAAGCCCGGTGAGTGGCATAGTGAGTGCCGGGGAGGTCACGCCAGACACTTCTGGGCCTGGGGGGCGGGGACACAGTGATGAAGTAGAGCAGGCATTGCATCCAGGGACCTCCGCTTTGAGGGGATTCAGATGAGTAAGCAGATGACCATCAAGTAGTGGGATTAGAGCTTCGAGAGAAGTAAGCCCAGGGGTAGGGAATCCACCCGGAAGTGCCTTTTTCTCTCTGGCCATTGCTGCAGGCAGCTCTTTCTGTGGGGTTCAGTATTAACTAATGAACAGTAATTTGAGCGCAGCTCCCACCGCCGTCACCTCACTCCCCCACAGTCTATTTTCTGCACAACAGCCAACTCGGATTCTTTCTTTAAAAGTCTGTCTTGAGCAGTTTCAGGGTCACAGCAGCATTGAGAGGACGCTGCAGAGATTTCCTAGATACCCCAGCTCCCACCCATGCTCAGCCTCCAGCATCTCTGTCCAGGAGGTCCCTGAGTGACAGCTGGTGAACCTGCAGTGAGCAACACATTATAACCACCAGGGCACCCAGTTTACATAAGGTCCTTCTCTTTTTCCCTTTTTTATTAGTACATGTTTGTAATGCATAATACATACATTCATTGTGGGATTGGTACAGATACATATTGCCACTTGATCCTTTTCGCTTCTCCTTCCCTTTCCCTTTCTCCCATATTCCCCTGCCCCAGATGTTGCTCCTAAGAGTTTGGAGCATGTACACTGACACGAAGCCTCCCACTTCCTCTGTGCTCCGTGCGCTCTGCCCCCTCAGCCCTCAGCCCTGGCAACTTCTGACTTTTAGCCACCTCTGTAGTTTTGTCCTTTCCAGAATGCAAGAGTATTGACATTATAGAGGACGTAGCCTTTCCAGAACGGCTCCTTTCACTTAGCAATATTCATTTAGGTTTCCCCAGTCTTTTCACCGCACGAAAGCTTATTTCTTTTTAGTACTGAATAACATTCCATTGTCTCCATGTAGGGTTTATTTAACCTTTCACCTACAGAGAAATATTTTTAGAAGAGAAAGTGGAGAGGTCACTGTTTTCATTCAACATGCCCTTCACCTGTCCCGCCAGCTCTGACTTCTGGCTGCCTTCCTGCTTGCTGTTGGAGTACGGCTAAGTGGCACATTCCATGAATGGGATCTGGGAGGCAAAGTGAAACTTAGTGGGAAGAAACTACTGGGTAAATCGTGACCAGGTAGAAAATGGGCTGATGCATAAAGTGATGAGTTTCCTGTCACTGGATGAGAAGGATATGCTAGAAGAAAAGTAAAACTTAAAAAAAAGGAAGTTCTACTAGCTGAAATAGAAGGTCTTTTTTAATATGTTATTCTATGATAAAGGTATTTTGCTTAAAGTACAAGTTACTTTTTCTCTCTTGCCTCCTCAATTCTCCCCAACAGAAGGTAGTACCGACCTGAACTTAGCCCGATTCAGGCCCACACTGGGATTTGCAGCAATGGGCAGAATCACAGCACCCCATGGTGGCCTGACTCGCTCTCCAGCACTGTGTTTTTTATACGCGGGAGAAAAGACCTTCAGAGCTCTGAGCTGTCTCAGTGCATTCCCAGAAAAACTCTAGATGCTAGGAGCTATTATTTGAATCTGAGGACAGAGAGGTTAAGGAGCTTGCCAAGCCCACACAGCTAGTCAGTGATGGATCAGGATTTGAAGTCAGGCAGGTGGTTCTAGAACTTATACTTTGAATCTGTATAGCCAAGTGCCCCTTTTCATGACCAAAAGGCTTCTGCTTTTAAATGTGTTTCTAATGGTCAGATTGGGTCCCACTGGGCTCCCATTGCTCTGCTCACATGAGCGCATTTTGTCAGCTGTTAGGACCAGGCCAACAGGCAGAGATCTGGCCTGGGTTACAGGACGGCTAGGGCAAGTGGGATGACTCTGCCATAGACCTGCCTTCCCTTGAAGAGTTAAGGCCTACTTGTGGACTTCAGCTGAGTTGCCACTTCCTTGGAAAGTATCACTGGACCCTCCTGTACTTGAGAGGCATGAGTTAGATAGGCTAGATGATGGTGCAATAAGAGCCCTAAAATCTTAATAACCATCACTTTTGAAGTGCATTTTCAATCACGGCTAGAGCCTGCAGATCCAAGTAGCTCCCCAGGGTCTGGATACTCCATGTGATCTATCCAAGTTATTCCCATCTTGGTCTTCATCTTTCTCAACATATTTGCCTCAGAGGGGAACAAAAGGCAGAAGAATCATGGAGAGTGTTTTAATGGCTCATGTATACTCACCTGTCAGTGGTCAAAACCAATCAAAAGACCCCAAAGGGATGGGAAGTGAGTCTCCTGCAGGCTGAGGCAGTAGAGGCAGATGGGCTGTGAGTGAAGACTAGGAATGTTTGCCACGCTAGGCCAGGCCTTCTTGGTATTACTCTCATAGGAATACGCACAGTTTATTATATAATGGATATCTAGTCTTACCCCAACCTCCATTAGAACATAACTTCCATGAGACAGGAGCCATGTATACATTTACGTGATATTGAATGAGTAGGTAAGTGGATAGAAGTATGGGTGGATAGGTGGATTTATGAACAGGAGAATAGGTGGATGAATGGATGGATGAATGGATAGATGGATAGTTGGATAAAAGTATGGCAACCCTTTGTAGGAAAGACAACACATGCACAACTCGATATCACTTACATATGTCTATTGCTTCTGCTCAGGTTTCTGAACTAGTATAATCCTAATAAGTGTTAATTAATCTGTCCTGGGGGATTAGCATCCTAGAACTCTCAGAGAATTAATTACAATGCACAGTGTTAAAGATGCAACCAAAATCCCCAGAAGTCATCTGGGAACAGAAGCCCCACTTCTTTCCTCGCCGACCTGCTGGTGCTCTCCGTGACTGTGAAGGGCAATCAGAGTGTATGGAGATGTCACCAGGAAAATGTCCCTTGTCTCAGCCGTATCACAGCAACAGTTCCCTGCCTCGTCATCTCTGGGTATAGGTCAGAGAAAAGAGACCAGCGACACATTTGAGCCATCAGCAGGAAATATGCTCTCCTCTCCAAAACAGTGTTAGTTTGCTCTCTGTACTATGAGAAAACATCTGTGAAAATCGGTTTAAAAGGAGGAAAGGTTACTACTTTTAGCTCATGGTTTTAGAGGTTTCCACCTGCCATCATTTGACCTTGCTGCTTCGGGCCTGTGGTGTCACAGTGTATCATGGCTGAGACTATATGTAGTGGCAGAGTTCCTTACCTTATGGTGGTCAGAAAGCAGACAGAGAAGAAGAGGCTGAGGTCTTAATAACCCCTCCCTAGGCAGCACCTCTGTGATCTCACTGCATTCCATTACTGAGGCCCCCCTCTTACAGGTTTGGCTATCTCCTCATAGTGTCACAGGGTGGCACCAAGCATTTAGCACATGAGTTTCGTGGGACACAGCAGGAATTAAGATGGATCTGCCTTTCAAACACCTGAAGAGGAGTCTGGGGCTTGTTCCAGGACAGAGATGGCCTTGGACACCAAGATGTGAATTCCACTGCAATCCCTTCTCCTCTCAGAACCTCAGCTTCTCTTCACATCACTTTAAATATCCCCCCTGCTCCAGCAGCTCTGACATAGTGAGAATGGAGGACAGAGGCACTTTACAATGGATAATGATCACCGGAGGCCGTTGATGGGATGCATTGAGCAGGTGGGTATCCTCCGAGGCCACTTGAAGCTGCCTCCTCTCTCCATTGATTAATATAACCTTATAATCAATGGAGTTGTCACACATGGTGGTCATCAGCAATGTCACTATTATCTTCAAGTTCTCCTCCAACTGGGAACATGGTAGACCTTCATTTCCTCACCTCAAACAGGTAGGCACCGACTTGCCTTGACCAGTGGAATGTCAGTAGAAGTCCTGTGTGTAACTTCTGTCACTCTGCAGTTCACCAGAAGCTTGTCACCCTTGGCCTCTCCCTTGCCATGCAGCTGGGGATATTCCAGTAGCCCAGGCCCCTGAGTGAGGTAGGGGCTGGGCACATTCCTCAGGTGTCCTGCAGTGGGTACGTGTAAAAAGCAGTCACTGTCGTGTTAGGGCATGCAATGTTCAGGCATCCCCATCCTGCCTCAGACAGCATGGGGTTGTTTTAGAACACAGGCTCCAAGACTGACCTACAAGCACCAAAGAAAGTGAGTCCTGTGTGGACAGTCGGCACTTAGAGGAGGCATCGTGGAGCACATGTTCAGAGTGGGATCTCTGAAGTCAGGCAGTTCTGGGTTTGAATTGCAAGCGCTTCACATCTCTGGGTCTCATTTGCCATTTCTGAAAAATGGGGCTAACAGCCATCTCATAGGATTGCAGTAAGGATTGAGGAGGAACATGCTAAGAGCCTAGCAAGACGCCTCCCCTGTAGTAAAAACTCATTTGGTACAGACAGAAGGAAACACATTCTACAAAGCACAGCTAGACATCAGTAACAACTTCTTGGGTGCCTTGCTCAGCTCTTTCACCCAAGAGCGAGACTCCGGCCCATGTAGTGTTGTCTGTTTTTCTGGGAATGTGTCTTTGTGTCAGTAGGGCACTGAGGGGACAGGGCTACTGTCTCCAAGCTCCACCGGTGACTGCTGAGTCACCTTCCTCCCCACTGCACCTCTAGTGATTTGTCCACATGGTCACTGATGGATCCTCCTCCCTGCCAGAGCAAGACCTCCTCTCTTTGTCAGCTCCACGGGCTGCAGCCGGGCTGCTCAGAAGACTTTCCACATCTGCCTCCTTACTCTGGCCTTCAAGAACCCTCTCCACACAGGCAGGAGGGTCCACGGTCCTTGGGGGCAACAGGAGACTCTTGGAGGCAGTGTGCCCCAGCTCTCCCACCACAAAGGGAGTCTTGCTCAATTTTTGTGGGAACCAGAACTCTTACATGTACACACCTCGGAGTGCAATGGGTGCACTCAGTTTTAAGACCTTTCACCTAGACCCAGGGTGCCTAAATGATCCTCTTGTTTTGTTCTTATTCTCCTCCACTCCCAGAGGCTCTTTATCCAATCTTAGGGGACAATAAATATGGGTCTGGCCTATCATGTCTTTTCTAAAATCCAGGCTCTGGGCTCAAATATTTTTCCCTCCTTCTGCCTTCCCAATCTTCCCTGGAGGCAGTGTTTACTGTACGGTGGAGCTGACTGAAAGCTAAGAAGTGGTCATGGGGTAACAGGGAATATCAGGGAAAAACAACAAATTGGTAAGTACTTAAAATTACCACTTTCGTTACTAGCTATTACTGTAATGGTTATTACTATAATCATTGTAGACACAGTGAGTTATGGGTACTTTTATTAATAAGTGAGGTCTCTTCACTTTGTGCTCCCCTCTCCAAATAATCCCCAAACAATTAAAGCTCTACTTTCACTTTATTGGCTCAAAACGTATTTCCTGACCTCCAGCCACACGTTTCTTGTCCCCTCTCCATTCCTGTTTGATTACTCTCTAATACATAGCCATACATATTTTAAATGATTTTCCCATATTTATACATCTTATTTTGCTTTCTTGTCTCAGTCATCTATAGCTGCACGAACACATTATGCCCTAACTTAGCACTTAAAGCAATTATTTCATTATGTTAACGGAGTTTGTAGGTCAAGAATTAGGAAAAGACAGAACTGATATGGTCAGTCTCTGTGCCCTGGTGCTTTGACTCCCTCCGGGAAAACTCCAAGGATAGGGGTGACTTGCTGGAGTAGGAAACATTTGGAGATGCCTTTACTCACACATCTGATATTTGATTCTGAGTGTGGCTGGAACACACTCAGGAAGTTTTCCCTCCGGTGGACAGGGCTTCCTCCCACCATGGCAGCCTCAGGCCTCCTGTCAGACAACTCAGGGAGCTAAAGGCAACTGTCTCAGAGAAGCAGGTGAAATCTGTAAAGTCTGTGATGAGCCAACCTGTATGCCTTAGACCAGCATTTCCACCTTTAGTCCCAAGTCTACCCAGATTCAAAGGGGAGAAACAAACATCCCATTTCTCAGCAAAAAGAACATCAAGGACACACTATGTCTTAAACCATTGCTGTTACTGTAACTAATTATTGTAGACTATGCATTTTATAGAGGTTTCTTTAGCGTGTGATTCTGGAGGTGGGGAAGCCCAAGAGCAGGGTGCGAGCATTTGCTGAGCTCAGAACCCTCAGATTGCATCATCACATGGCCCCAATGAGGTCGCATGTCAAGGCAGAGCAAATGTGCTAGCTCAGGTCTCTTTCTTTTGCCTGCTATCATAGGGCCCCACCTACACGACTTCATCTAATTTTTATGAAGTCCCCAAAGGCCCCACTTCCAAGTACAGCAGTACCTTTGTTCACAAGTGCTTTCGTTTGCAAACAATTTGATTCAAAAACAGAAGTGTCAGGCTGGGGATGTAGCTCAGCGGCATAAGTGCTTGCCTGGCAAGCCTGAGGTCATGAGTTTGATTCTCAGCACCAAAACCAAACCAAACCAAACCAAACCAAAACAAAACAAAACCCAGAAGTGTTTGGCAAAGTTTTGTTTTTGTTTGCAGACTCTGCACTGGGTGACACACATGACTGTGGCCATCTTCCCATACAGACAAAAACGTGGCCATCTTTTCCAAAATGGTAGAACTAATTAAGTTCATGAACCGAGGTGCTGCTGCACCATTCCCATAGGAACGAACTACAGTATTAGGTTTCTAACACAGGAACTTTTGTGCAGACACATTCACAGCACTGCATGCACTGGGAGCATCTGAGATAGGAACTATTGATCCAGCAGCCTTTGGAGCATACCATCTGCCACAATCTTAGAAAATTTCTCCCCAAGATAGAGACTGTGGCTTAGTTCTACCTGAATTTTTTGAGACTCATCATCTTTAGCTTGAAAGTAATGCCTGCTCAGCAATGTTTCTTTTTTTGTTGTTGTTTTTTGTTTTTGTTCTTTTTCTGGTACCAGGAATCAAACTCACGACCTTGCGCTTGCCAGGCAGGCGCTGTAATGCTGAGCTAAATCCCCAGCCCCTCAGCAATATTTCTTGATAAACCATCCTGGGATGGAGAGAGCCCTTGAATATCATGGGTGAATATACCTGGAGTTCAAAAGCATTTAATAATCAACTAATCACCGAGATAGATATATCATTTAAATAAGTATCACAGAAACTTCTAAGGAGGTATCAGAGGCCCCAGTTACAAGTTTCCTGAGGCCTCAAAGAATTGGACAGCATGCCACGTCAACACAGCTGCTGAAGGACAGATTTGAACCCAGGATTTATTTGCCTTCTAGTCCAGACTCATCCTCATATAGAGTGGGAGGTGTCCAGAGGAAACAAAGATGAAAAAAAAAAAAAAAAAGGCAGGTAAATCTGACTCTCCAATGTTTGTCCCGAAGTCTCCGCCAGCCCCTAATCCAACATCTGCTGGCTGTTTCTCCTGGTTGCACGGCCCCTTCCAGAAGGCTCCATCAGGAGAGGGCTCCAAGTTCAGGGCAGAGAACCGGGCCCCTGGTAACCGAAGCTGGTTGGCAAATGGGCTTTGAACAAACTTGTCTCATGAAATGCGGGGTCGGTTTCACAAGTACATAAAATAACAAGGGAATCAAAGGCATAAACAAGAACAAGCCTGTAATCGTCACAGAGTCAGGCAGGCGAGGGGAAGGAAGGCGGCTTCGGATGCCTTTGCGCCTCCTGTTTTCTTTGCCGGCGATTGCAGCGCTGCGGGGCCATCTGTTCCCTGTTGTGGGCGGTTAAGTGAAATGGGCTGCCAATACAAATAGCCCCACTTGAGGTTTGTTTGCATAAATTGTTTTGAAAGCTTCATGACGAATTTTCAGGATTACTTGCAGTGGTAGGGACCTCGGCGGAGGCGGAAATATAAATTTAGCCATGCCAGTTGGAATCTATTAATTTGCTTGCAGCCCATCACCTTAGCTCTCCTGTTTAACTGGCTGTGTGACCTCAGGCACATGAATTAACCTCTCTGGTCTTTAGTTTCCTCATCCGCTCAATGGGAGGTGATAACCATAGCAGTTACCTCATGGGATTATGAATCTGAAACAAGATGATACAGCAAAAGTGTCTGGCATGTAGGATATGTTTACTAAATAGGAGAAATTAGTTTTTGTCTGAAATGAGAGGAATGGCTCTACTTGGTGTGAGAGTTTGAAACTCTGGAGTGGCCTTCTAGCTCAGCGTAACTTTCTGTTCAGGTGACCTCAGAAGAGTGGTTTTTACTCTCTGAACTGCAGGTACTAATAGATACCCACCTCGCGCATGCGCGGTGGCTGTCATGGTTATTGTTCTGCAGTGGCCCTTGCTGGGCTACCTTTACCGGAACTCC